GCAATCACGGTGACGACAGAACAGACGTAATTCACGATGGTTATGGACGCTCCGTAGTTCTTGAGGTCCTGAAATGCAAAAAAAGCCATACAAGATGCAATTACGTTGAAGTGTCTGTAGGGTAATGCTTTGTAAGTACGTGTCTTGATGGAAACACTCATGACAATCGTTTGCTGCGGGAGCAATCTTGTTGAAGAGTGAAATCGCTTGATTGAGTGCGTCTGACAAAACACGATCTGATGACGGAGGCACGAATATTTTCAGTACGTCATAGTGGTCAGGAGCGAAGTATCACCTCATTAGTTTACGTGATGAATTCGGACACGCTTGCTTGTGTTGGCGATGTATGCTCATGGTCGATGTTCTCATTGGCTGCGAGTTACTTGTGCACACATCCGATTGGTCGACTGACGTGCATCGACTACGATTAACATTTTTGATCATATTGTTGGTGAATAATCGATTTACGTCTTCCTAGTCGTCTTTGTGGTTGGGTTTTGTGAATGTCGGCTTATACCAGAGCTACGCACTGGCTGTCCCAGTGCAATTTCTGATCTACAACCGACTGAACGTGGGCCAATGATCGTGGAGGCTCTTTCAGCACATCGACCTGAAGTTGTTTGAACGCGCACTCCCGATTGGCATAAAATGAAAAGGCCAATATGTGATTTTCTTAAAATTCAAATTCCATTCAGGCTGCGCGCCAGGAATTATTGGCAGACTAATTCTTAAATTGTTAGTTTCAATCTGTCTAAAATGGAGTTTGGCGTTGGTTCATGAGGCACTTTCGACGCTACCGGGACAGTATGTTATCTGTGATGTTGGTTAATTTGTAGGAAAATCGGAACCTCCTGCACTTGTTCTTGAAGACCATGTGCTTGCCAAAAAGCCCCACAAGCAAATTCAACGCCAATGGATCCAAAGGTCGTGGAGTTACCGGGGAAACGATGAAGTCCACGACAACTTCACCGCCCGACACCTTGATTGTGACGGACAATCTTCACCACAACAATACCAACAATCACCACTACTTTTCTCGCTCAAGGAATCACTTTGCTGTTGACTCGCCCGATGGTGATCTCACGACGGGCATCCTCAGGCATCCAATGGGCGCGCACCCCTGCGATGATGGCTTGCCCTCGAGTGAAGAGTTTAAGTCGGCGGCAGTTTTGGTGCCCCTAGAGGTCACCCAGCTCCCCACCCACTACTACTACAACCCACAATCCCCGCATCACGACGCGCCCGTCATCAGGTTTGAGTCGCTGCACGACCTAGTAAGCCCACCCATTCCCACCTACTTATTTGATTTCAGTACACAAAGCATAACAGCATCAATTGCTTCTTTGTGCAGGTGATGACGCCGTCGTCTGACCTTGGCGAAGTCGGACGGATTATACCGGCACCAATGCCAGACATGACGATGTCCGACAGTGTTGGAACGCTGCCAACACAACATTTCTACCCAAAGGCACGAAGACAAGTAGTGAACAACATTGGTCAGCAGAAACTCACGACTTCGTACTACGTAAGCCCACATGAAATTGGCCTAAGACTTAAGCGATGCCAGGCAATGCCTAACCGTTTTTTTAATTTCAGACAACAAAAAAAGATGGAGGACTGTAGACAGCGCCTGCCAGATTCATTTTGTCAACGCATTTATCCATCGCCTGATCCCCACCACCACAACCATGAGTAAACCAATTTTTCATAAATCAGCCCCACTTCTTGTGTACATTACCGAATTTGCCTAAAATATAGCATACAACAAAAACTCGTCAAGGCTGCTGCACTTTTCGAGGACTGAGGCAATTTTACGGCGTCTAATTAGCCCTTGGAGAAAAAAGTACAAGAAAGTGAAGGCAAAATGCTCAAGTTAGCGTAAGAAAGTAGGGGGGTAAGTGGTTATTTGGTCATAGCGGCGCCTTCCGTAAGTTGGCCTGAGTCCCGACTAGTCGCGGGAATGAGTCTGTACAGGAAGAGGATCAGTTGGGAGATGATGCGCCAGATAAATCGAAGCGATTTCTTTACTACGAGGTAGAATATCTGCAAAAGGATTGAAGGACAAAACCAGTTTCGGAAGCAGGTCCAAGCAGAACGTGTAAGATATTTAAAAGAGGTAGCAGAAGGCAGTTTGGTGGGAAAATGAGCTCACGCATGCCAAAACGCCATGCATTTTTTCGGCGAGCAAAACGAGGAACCAAAGTCAGTTGTTGTTTTGTGTAACTAAATAGCTAGCAATTCAGAAAATCCAAGAGATAATTCAGAGCTGCAATTTAGTAGGCTGCGGGTGACGACAGTGTCAGAAATTCCAATTTTAAGGTCACTTAAATTCGGAAATTACAGGGCTTACAGCAGTCTGACGGTGTGGCTGACAATAAAAATAACGCCTAATAGAATATAGTTACGCAGCGTTCGGCAGATTTGAGGTTGCTCGTTTTCTGACCTGATTCCAAAAATGAGGCAGGACTCAAATGCAAAACAGATTATGCGGTAGGGCTTAGGTTATGAAGAGCTCGGTTAAGGTTATTTGAGCCAGAAAGAAAACCATAATACAGAGCGTATAGTACGTAAAACAAGCCTAAGATTGTATAATAAATAAAGGCTAAAGGTTTGAGCCAATTCACCCTAATAACTCCAGTATGGCGGATTCCAGGGGTCAGCAATGCACAGATAGTTAGGATGTACGCGATCAATATCCCGTCGTAATTGTAGGTCAGTATTTCTGCGGTTACGATGGCACTTAAACAAACAACGGTGTAGATATACGGTCTCTGTTTTCGTAGGTTGGATAGATGTTGAAAAATGAGGATGAATAATCGACGCGCGCGCAGGATCCGCCGACAGAATGCGCGATATCTCTGATTATGTTCAGCCAGGGGTACAGTGGGGAGCAATCTTAAAGGATTAGGTACTTCATAAAATTACATACTTCAGCGCGAATTTAGGACCAAAGTAAAACCAAAGACTGAAGGTTAAAGTGAGACATCCAAGTGATACAAGAAGAGGCGGTTCAAACAACCAAAGGAAAGCGTAAAATACCGTTATTGATATGAAAGTATAAAGCAAGACTAGAGGCTTTTCCCACGTAAGAACACATTCAAACTGAACGAAAAGCTTCTCCCAGTCTTTGAGATCAGCCATGAGTCGAACAACATCACTGCCACAAACTTCAACCTGAGACATTGGCAGAGGCTTAAACGAAGCGCCACAATTCCCATTCGCTAATAGCACTTCTATCAGGCTGAATTTATATCATTGGTCATGGTTTAGTGTATTTGAAGTACATTATTTATAAATATTGCTGGGTAAATACTAACGTTAGGTAATTATATCAGTTCATCACTGTCATACAGGAACAAAGTGAAAAAGTAAATGAATAGAACAATTTAAAATCCTCAGATGTAATGTTAATAAAATTTCTACTAAAAGTAGAGGAGATTTATTGAGTAAATTTCGGAAGTGCGTGATCACTAATACCATGGAGGAGCCGAAGTAGTATTGCAGCAGCTGATTGCTAGGTATCATGCAGGTACTTATGACATTTGACGGTGACATTTAAAGATAAATTTTATATTTCAGCTTATTTGATATTTGGCAAGTTTATTTGAAATAAAGATGAAGTGTTTTACACAATCTTCAAATGAAGGTCCTAAAGTTATGCACAACGTCACATTTTGAATCCGAAAGCTGCAAACATAAAATTTTTGTGATACCCAAATATCCGGGATTTGAAAAAAACAATTTCAGAATTATTTAACATTAAAAATACCATTCAGTTGCCTGCGTTTAACATCATGGTTATTAAAGGTTCTAAATAATTTACTGGCTGATGCTATCAGAGCAGGAGACTTCTCATAACTTATTCACCATTGTTCCTAAGTGAGGTTTGGGGGTAACAAAACGGCCTATGCCTTTTTGCATTTTTCCTGATAACTTGTTAGATGTTACATATTATTTCGTTATTATACATAGGCATATTTTATGTCTCCTTGATCTCAATTCTCTTTAACCCTTAATCCATTTTTCTTAATGCAAAACCGCCTTTTTTAGGGAAATATTGCGTTTTCGTGTATAATCTAATTTAGTGTGTTCCAATGAGTGAAAAATCAACGTAAATTTAAACTCGCATTTCAGGGCTGATTAGGCACACATACTCATACAAGTGCTATCTTCGGCAATTATCTTAAAAAGAACCCACTTTTAGTCCTTCGTCGTTATGCTCCTGACACCCATTTTCACATGCATTTCCATTTTCCGTAAATGAGAGCAAAAAAACATTTGAGAACTTTGTTGCGTTTGTGGTTAAGCATTTGTCGCATTGACTTCGGGACTCCTCAGGAAACTCCTTATGAATGTTCTACCTCGGCAACTCTGTTCCTTAGTTTATGAACTCAGCAAGAATCATTGTCATTACTATAAATAGCTATAATAATATCAAAAATGAAAAATTAAGGTGCAATTGCTGTGGTAGGAATAACTTGGCAGTTGTTTGTCTACGGTCAGGCAATATGAATATCTTCAAAAGTTACAACACTCGACAGGAGTGTCCAAGTTCTACCAAATACAAAAAAGTGTGATATTTAATTTAATCAATTTGAAAAAGGGATAAAAAGAACATCAATAGGTAAAATGCGAACTAATTACAAAGACTTCAAATTTATTCTGAAAATGAGTACTGAGTTCTGGTTAGTGGCCGCACATTTTTTACTGAGGTGGCTAACTGTGCTCTACCTAACGTATTGTATGCATTTTAAGTCAGTCAAACAAAACCAAAAGTGTCAATAAATATATTGGGCGGTTAAAGTACTTTGCTCCCGATTTGAAGACAAACTCTTCTCTTTTCAATTAAAAAAGGATTTATGAGTAATGCACTCTCCATTATTTCCTCCAAGCGTTTTGCAAATTAGACATTCCCTCCTGATTGAAAATACGTGGGTTCTTCTATTAAATAAAGTTATGCAAGATGTTTTTGATTGATTCTATTTTTTTGGTCTTCAGATTACGGCTGGTGTAGCTAAAAGGCATCAACTATTAGCCCCCTTAGTGTTTGCAATGTCTTTTGCGCGACATGTCGCCTAGCACCGATGAAATGACGAAAAATAATGACTTTTAAATTTTTCCGATTAGGATTATTTTGCTCGAATTTCAGCAAATTGATTCATCGAAATTTTTTCTACCAGGTACATGACAGCATTTTTAACCAATTTATCAACTCAACCTCTGTCTTTAATTCTGCTCTTACGTTTCCATACTTCCGGTTTCGTTCTCCTAACATTTTGTTACACAGAATACCCATTTTATGCCATTCTTGTTAATGACTTGATCCAGGAACAAGAGAAGAGATGGCCGTGGAAATACGATCTAGTTTGTTCGTTCTGTTAGCTATAATGCTATGCTTGGGTGCAGACATTGGAGCACGCCGAGTTCAACCAATCCTCTGTCTTTGAGTGTTTGAATGGCTTAATTCGAAGGTCAGCAGCCATTTGGAGGCAAGGACAGATAAACATAACTAAATAATGAGCGCGGCAGCCATGATGGAGGATGGCTCCTGAAGTACGGTCCTGGCTTTTGATTGGTCAATTAGGCCTGATCCGTTTTACCGGACTCAGGTGTTCTAATTAACATACGTGGTACCCATATTTCAATCTTCTAAGTGCAACCAAGTTGTTTTAAACGGTAAAATGTAATCGAATTGTCTAAATGTAGCCTCACAGTCATGCTTTCAGTGGTAATCCATGGTAATTGTTTTGCACCATATCTGGGATAAAGTCATTATCAACTCCAGAGGGCCACTCGGAGAGAAGCGCGTCGTTTAACTTGGTGTGAGCTTACTGGTAACAACTAAACCGCGTCGTAGCAACCATAAAAACTTGAACACGACCCAAAGAATCATCTTGAATATTTTTTTGTTGCAGGTCCAGCACTCACCTCCGTTTAAGCTCCTGTAACATTACACGACGAAAATTTAACCTCGTTTTTATCATTTTAAACAAAAGTCATTTTAACGATCCCTCTATAGCAGCAGTTTGGGCAGAAACTCATTGGCTGTGGAATGGCGGGCTTTCAGCATTGCCACAGCCTTAAACCTGGCCCGATATTGATGACTATTTCGGCTAACCATATTTTCAATCCACCCTTACAAAGATTTAAACCGTTAGATAAATGGACAAGGCAAAGTCACATGTTAATTGATGCTTTTTTGGACAAAGATTCGAGCCAGCTCCATCTAACGAAAGGACACCTTCCCAAGATGTCCCCTCTGTGCAGGACTGATGTGCTTAAGCCAAAAATTCACTCCACCAGTGACTACCTTTGGAAACAATTCACACGACATTGAATGCATAGTTAGTGAAATACCACGATTGCATCAGGAAAGCAATTTTTAAGCTTTCGTCATGCAAGTTCATTCCGCGGAAATCTTTTCAAACGCAGGCAGCAATTTTGTGTACCACACAGCTGTTCATCTCTTAAAGTCGAATTTCACTCGGGAAGTTATAACCAGCTGCGTATTTTTGATGTTGTGCAGCCCAGTCACGAATAAGCACCCCGATGTGGTTGATTTGCTAAGATAGATATCCTAATTGTGCAAGAATTTGCTTCAAGGTAAAGAAAGTCATGAGTAAGCTTGCACAAATTAAAATTAAAGGGGAAACAGGCCATAATGCTTTCTAAGCAATTCACGATGTCCTTGCAGCGAGTAGTGCTGTGTAACATCGATTAATTCGGTCGTGGCATTCACCACCACAATGACCCTCTTGTCACAGCGTCAATATCGATTTTGCTACGCCACCAACTTATTCACACCCTGTATGAACCTTCACCACGCTACCCGTTCAGTCATTTCTACTTTTACGCTGATTAACAAACCCATTTAGCCAGACACTGCATTTGCATGCGTAGTGGCGAGGCAGTCAACCAGGTTGAACTCTGTGGTAAACGGTAGTGCTTCTGCCATCGCTTGTCTTCTTGTCTCGGGTACCCGATTTCTTTAAACAGGCCAAAGCAAGACCACATGCCGGGACACACAACATATCAAATAAACACTCTGTACGAGCTCTGTTTTAGGTTACAGCAGGAACATGTTTGACCAGAAACCTGACATAAAGTTGGGAACGAGATGAATGTGAAGGTTATGTAAATACGGCACCCGTTACGTGGCTACCCAGGTAACTAACTACCCCAAAATGTGTGCACCATTAAAAACCCTGCAGCCTTTGCAAATTCCCTGGTATTCACAAGCTTTATTGAGGTGCTTGGGTCATTTAAACGCGGTCCTGGCGCACTGAGGAATCGTAAGAATTTATCTGGTGAAAATGCATTAGCCGACAAGAATTTTTTTATCCATTTCTCAAATAACATGCCAATGAGAATAAGAGTTTATCAACCAGTCTAACGGGCACTGGGTCGTCTGCAGAAAGACAGCGACACGAAGGTCAAGAGGGCTGAAGCGGCCCCACCAATCGATGCCCAGTCGCCCTGTCCCAAGGTGGAGTCGAAGCCCTTCGCTAGGAAGACGGCGGACAAGACGAGACAGTTACCCACAAAGAGGAGAGCACTCATTCTCCGTATCTCGGCTTGAGTAGGGCGGCAGCTTCTGGTAGTTTGGCAAGACGCGTGCTGGTGGCTTGTCGGTTCCGAGGTGGCGGCATTCGAGGCGGGTGGTATTTCACTAATACTGGAGTTTTCAGTCAGCAAAGCAGAAGAGACGTCCTGGTCTGTTGGCACAGAGGGATCGCAAATCAGTAGTGGCGGCTTTATCGATGGGGCGACAATGTTGTAGGCCTGTTTTAACGACAAACTCGGGTTTTCTCCAATGGGCGAGCCTAAGTCGCCACACAGAGAGAGGTTGTTATGTCCGGGCTGTTCTGGTAGACAGGGCTCACTCTCTTCCACGAAATTCACAGAGCAGTAGAGTTCTGGATAAGTTATTCTCTGTTGTTGCAGTTTCACCTCGGTCAACTTGTCTTCGATCTTCAATGAGGGTTTTGCACTGTCGGATTTGGACACCAACCCGAGTTCTGGCAGGTGACTGGCATTAATTATTTCAGCAGGCGTTATGGAGTAACAAATGGAATAGCTCAATTCTAGATCAGATCCTGAAGATGCCAACACGACTTCTGGTTTGACGATATCAATGAAAGCTAAGTCTTGAGTGCCATCTTTGAAGTCAGTTAGACGATAGAAATTTTCCACGAATTCGACAATTTTGCCTGTGTTAGGTGGAGGCTCTGTGGACAAAAGCCAGCTCTTGCAAATCATCCTGGAAGTTACCTTGAGAGGTCCCGGACACACCACATCTTTGAAAGAAGTGATTTCATCAGGTATATAGAGAAGACTCGTAGAACTGTGATGAGAAAACCAATCAGTTGACTCATAAACATTACTCATTTTGGTTAAAAATGCCTCTACGGACTCCAGTTTGGTCAATTCTTTGACGATTTTTGCTGGTGTTAGATCCAATCTGAGACTCCTTTTAACGACTTTTCGTTTATCAAATAACAAATTTTCTTGGGACGGCGAAGTCAGTGATCCGAGTGGATCAACGTGTCGTGTTTCATCGTTGCCAATTTTGTTAGCGTCCGGGCTTTGCTTCGATTCACCGGACCCGTGTTCCTGGTGAGGGAGGTGCTTGGTGGCCTCAGTTGTTGTGGTACTGTCTCCTTGGAGTTTTGATTGGTTTTCAGTACGCTTAGACCCCTGTGACTTTCCCGGAAATTGGAGGATTTTCTTAGAGTGACGTTTAGGACGTTTTGGGGCACTGACAGTCTTCTTTCGATTAACTGGTTGATCTGGATTCCCGTCGTTGTTGGAAAAATTATTTTGAGATGGTAAATCAGAATTGGGACTGAGTTTGTGCTGCGCCTCATTCCCAGGTCCTTTTGTGTTCTCGTTGACCTCTTGATTTCCTTGAGCTCTGGTTTGTCGACGTTTTCTTTGACCTGTACGACCTCGAGAACTCATTGTAGTTTTGGGACAGAATGGCCTTAATGAAGCGAAATGCTGGAATGGTGGGTTACGTGCTGAGAAAGCGTCTAATTTCAGAAGATTAATCAAGGAATCGAGCTTTTCACGCGATTCAGTAACGTCCTTATTGGTAGCTAGTTCCAAACTTCCTTGAATCTTCTTGCAGGCACAACCCCAAATCTCTCCCAGTTCAAACCCCAGCGCTCTTTCAACTTGAATTTTCTTGGCTGTGATCTCTCTCTGGTGGGAGGATAGGGCGCGTCTAGTTTTTTTCCCTGAACTGCTAGGTTTCTCGTCAGATTGTGACTGGTTCAGCCCAAACGGCATAAACTCAAGCCACCAACATTAGCGAGCTATTTGGGCTGCTACTTACGTATGTGGAGTTGAAAATTATCGATTTTTCTACTCGCGCTACGCTCGAGTTAGCCATTGCTGCTGCTGCGTGCGAAGACGCGAGGGAGTCACGTGACGATAGGTTTTTGAGGTTAGGTGAGAATCGGCAAAGCATCTTTAAAAGATTGATTTTACCACAAATGGCTGTAAGAATTCGCGGAACTTTCAAACACTTACCAGAAATCACAAAACCAAGGTTTGCCAGTAGTCACATCGTGAGTAAATTAACTGAAAATACATCGAATTGGTGTATTGTGAAAAGCGAAAAAGTTTAACCAATCTGGGATTTTGATTGAAGGGAATGGTGAGTGTTGAAATTTGAAATTTATTCCAGTTTTACGCGTATTAACCAGTGATATTCCCAAATAGTAAATCCGTGGCATAAAAGCTTGTTTGGGCAATTCTTTCAAAGTCCAAAATGAATCAAGTTAAATGGAACCGATTCGTATTTGAATTAGAAGCCAGTACGAGCTTGATGTAAACGGGTAATCGTTTATTACTCTGTTCTTTAATATTCAGAACTGATTTTTCTGTCTGACAATATCTTTTCGAAGCACCACAAAAATTCACCAGTGAATTAATTACAACTGGATACAATTTTCACAAATCGTCTTTGTCATCATAGCAAAGTTTGGTTTATACCCATATATATGTCCATTAGACACGAGCATGACGCGTTTTAGCCAATCGTATTCGCATTACAAGAACAAGGGCACACGTTGATTGGTTACGTGCTCCACAAGTCGAACAGGAGGCTTAAAACGCGCCAAATTCCATTCTACAGGGACGAAAATTAACAGCTAATGGGAAGCCCACGTTCCTGCACAGTGCGTACCAATAAAATGGAATGGTACAAGTGATTTGTTACACAACCACCTCACGTTGGCATCCAACGTTAAGATGATATACTCCTGTTGTTCATCCAGTGGTGAATTAAAAGAACTTTTCCAGCAAATACCAGCACTTTTAGACTGGTGATAGAGATTGCGTGGATGACATACTGTCAGTTGTGAATAAATGCTTTGGACACCAAAGGCTGGTACATGAAGCCTTCATAGGTAAAGGGTTTACGTTTACGTGGCACAATGTGTCAATGTATAAATGTCATTTTTAAAGCCGTAGTCAAACGTCCCACGTTTCGACCAACAGGCACACGCCATTCACCAGGTTGTCTGCGCTTGGGACAACACAATGTGAAACAGGCCTAGCGAAAAGTTATCTTCCGCGTCGAACTTTCGGCCATCGGTGATTGGTCCACTGAGTGGGATTTGATTGGTCTAACCTGCGTGCATGCAGTCACGTCAGAGCGAGGGCGCACGCACGCACGCACGCACACTCGATCAGCGGGTCGGGAACGCATCATGGTCTCCCCACCCACGCGTCGTGCATTTGCCCGGCGCCTTTCGTGTGTACCTACGGGACTTGTTATATGCGCGGCGGCACGTGGTCAGACCACGCCAATTTAACTAACCTTACGTAAGTATTATTTTTTTTCCCGGCTAATTGGTTGTTTGCGTGCGCCAGACGTGCAATGACAGGTAAACTTCCAGGAGGCGTGAATTCAAATATCACGCCACCTACCAGGTTTCTTATACAGAATGCTCATAAACCAACGTAAAACGGCCATGTTTTCAAATCAAATCATCCGGTGCCCTTATCTACCGCGGTTTTAACTAACGGTGAATCACTTTATTGTGTGCGTCACAAGAGGCGGCGAATTGTGTGTTTTAGAAAGCCTTATTAAAAAAAACTTCACTTAGACTTCTTGTCAACTGATCGGAAGTCACTTGGATCGGTGGTCGAAGCGTGAAAAAAGGGCATTTTGCAGTCGGCGATAATTCGTATCGGAATAGTTAATTCCTCTGCACATTTTGTGGACTTGTCAGACAGCGGGAAGCATTTAAGGAATACCCTACAGAAAGCATTATCCGATGCAGAATTGAGTTGTGATTCCTTTCGAGAATGTAGAGAGGTCGTCGTTTTTAAAACTAACTACAAATTTACATTATGTTTCCGAAATGAACTATACTCTGAAATAATGGGTAATCTGTTGATAGAAGGTGATAAAATCTCTCAGCTTTCCAGAGAGCTTATTGCTCAAGTATCCGTTTTATATTCGTGATTTCTGAACTACAATGATAAACGATGCCATTTGCCGGTATGAAAACGCACTGTAGATCCATCCGTGACACGAGACTTAGTACAAATGCTCAGAATCTTGCCACCACTAAACTAAAATGTCTTCGTGAGCATCAAATGTAACATTTACCCGTTAGTATTGATTTATCCCTTGTTTTAATACACTGGTATCGTTGGAGTACAAATCGAACCCTCAACCAGTATCAAATTTTTTAATGCCGGGCCATTTTAATTGTTTTTCGATTGCTTCAAGTCCCTAAGCTAGTTTTTAAGCTTTTGTTGTTTAAGCTAAGTTCATGACTAAAAAAGCAAACATTTTGAGGTACACATGTCTCCACCTTGCCAAGTTCTCATGCACGATTCCCAGTTATAGCAGACTTCAGGATGTGTCTGTTAGTTAGCGAACTCAGGCTTGCCAGGTAGATTGGGTCTACGAATTAAGTGAGTAATTTAATATGTCGGATAGAGTAAGATGTTAAGAATTGTTTGATGGCTGTTTGTATACTCTGAGAGAGGCTTTTTATTTACTGTGCTTTTATAACAAGTCAAGGAGGGTTCACCAGAGAGACTCCATTACAGAATGATGGGTGTATCTTGAACCCCGTATCCCGTCTGACACATTCTTTTTGAAATTCCGCACTAGTTCAGGATTGGTCCGTGTAGGGGTCACTTCGGGGTCATATCGACCTCCTGATTGGGTCAAAAGGCTAAACACCTCAGCGTGACTTCGTAGTGTTCAAATAACAACGACCATTTCTACAGCATCGTAGCTGCCTTTAGTTGTACGAAAGGCAGTGAATATTTGCTGCACGCAAATGTGATAAAAATCTGAATATAATGCGTAATTAATGCACACGACTTCTCTTCATTTTGCCACATTTATGAAGGCAAGCGCCCAGAAAGCTTTAAGTTAGTACAAAGCAAACTTAACGAGTTCATGAGAGCTTAAAATTTCACACAAAACCAAATTTTAGTTTGTCAAAAACCATTTTGTTTGTTCGTCTTATTGGTCAGAACTTTGTTGCGTAAATATTGGCAAAGTCAGTCCACAGTGAAGTCACGCGAGGTCTCCGCACATCATCTGATCAAGTTCCCTAGGATATCGTCGTTGTAACACCTTCCTTTCCTGCCCATACTTGTAAATGTTTTGGTGTGAGACTGTGAGAGGCAGGGGATTCCATATGCGCACCCTCGGAGAACCAGTGTACGAATCCTCTGTCAAACACAAGCCCGAAATTTCAGGGCCGTGACAGAGAAAGCTTCTGCTGTTAAAGCCAAAGGCTGAGCTATAATACGAAACGCGCCTAACCAAATAAGGGCTGTAGATGACCTTGACCTCTCATTGGCTGGCCTTGGTGATGATGTGACGGAATTAAGTGGTGTGATTGGGGGAGATGTGGACAGAGTAAAACATCTCAATCAGGCGAAACATTGTTATCATGGAGTATGTTGAATCCCCCGGCAGCATCGGCCAAGGTGGACGAGCAGGTTGAAGGTAATGAGAGTCGACGCGGCTGTTCATTTCGAAGGAGAGTGCCGATTGACTGATGGCGTAACTGGTCTACCTTAAACAAGGTCCAGTTGTGGCGTTGAAGAGAGCCAGGAAAACGCCCTGATCGATTCTGTGGAGTCAAGTCCTTGAAAAGACCTTAACCTCTACTCATTGGTGAATGTGGATTGGATTCATGGGCGTCTCAACTACTAGTTCCTCGAGCCAATCACTGACACATACGAGTAGCAGGACGTCGCGTCGGGTAGTTTCCTCCTAATCCAACTATTTGCGACTCTACAAAAACTAAATCCCATGCAAGACAGCGTCAAGCGACAATTTGTCACCCAAGTGCGCAAATTTCTAAAAATAATACCTCCGCTGCAGATCATTTGGATGCAAAAAAGCCATCGCTTTTTTGTTAAACTTGACAAGAATATCAATGCCGCACTTGATTTGAGGTGAAATTAGTTAATGTCAACAAGGATGTGCAAATTTGCCTTTTGATTGTTCAATGTAATCATAAAAGATGTAAAAGTAAGCTAAATGGGTTAGACACCTCCTCGAATTTTGATTGACACTGTTATTCTCTTATAAATAATTATAACATTTGAATTTTCGTGTCAAATAATTAATTGGTTGTGTTAGTGTGCAGCATGTTCAAATGGCTAGATTGTGTGGCAAGAGTGGCATTGCAACTATTTCAGAACTTCCCACCAGAAATTTAAAAAAATGCAAATTTTTGTTTTAATCTAACTTTTGAGTACATCTCTGAGTTCGTGGACAATAGCAGCGTCTTGGCGCACACAACTATGTGGTCATTGTTGTGGGAACAATGAGTACATTATGTGCACACTTCTATTAAATCTGATGTTATCGAACCCGTATAATAGAAGATCTGCGTCCTTAATGGCCAGTAGGATACTCAAATGAACATACTTTCCGGATTTCCATCACTGGCTTTTCCCACACCAAACAGTGCCACCGGATTTGAAATTACTCAGTTGACCAATCGTCAACCAGCGTCGCTCCGCAAATTTGTCAACAAAGAATAACATTTAAAACGAGATTTTTTTACTGTTTTCGTGTACAATGGTGGCTATCAACATGCCCCTCCATTTTCTAACGCTTCTTTCAAAAGACGTCGTTTTATTTCGAAACAAGGACGCTGGGAGCGTTTCAGAACACCGTTGAAATGTAAATGTCGAAAGGCGCTACGGTATCCACCACACGTGGGGTTGTACGATGTGGTGCTTTGGTTGAACCGCATTTGTTGTCCGACAAATGTTCATTTGGGAACCTTGCATGCACGTGATCGTTAAAGCTATGTGGAACATTCTGGAAGTTCTATAACAATTTTCGCTACTGCACTGATAAGCTATTTATTGGTGAATTGTATCAACGAATCCAATTCGTGTAGCCAATCATTAAAACAAAAGGACTAAGTAGGACTGAATATACTTTCATATTTAGCGCTTGCTTACAATAACACGTTGTGTACTGTAAAAACTTAACGCACATTCATGTCTGGATGTTATATGCACTTAGCTTAAGTTGGCCAAAAAAAAACTAGAAATTTAATATAAAAGTTTTGAAAACTTAAATTGACCTGCTTAATTTTTGAGTGCCAATTAAAATAACAGTCATCTAACCAATGTTTTTTTTTTCAAAAAAATTATTGTGAGACGTCTTGTCTAAGTTGTACTAGTCTGTCTGAAAAGTGAGGGGTCGACTGGCGCCATTTTCAGAGCCACGGTCTAATTTAATGCCGTAATCAAAGAACTGCCGCCCGTAAAGAAGACCGTGGCATTTGGAGTGAAGCAGACAGCTTTTAATACCTAGTGCGGACGTCTAAATGCTTAGGAGTTATATTCGTCTAACTGCAACCACTCAACTATTTTAATAGTTCTCTGCTGTGTTTACCGTGAGCCAAACGAGAGATGAGGGTCGAAAATCAAGACAAGAATCATTATCCAAGCCTTGTTACCTGTCGATTAACAATACCATCCAGTATTTGAGAGGTTGCTTGAGAATCACGGTAAGATCGGCAATTTCCCGTCAGTTAAAGAGGCAGGAGGGGGACAATGTCTGAACGACTCCAAGCGCTGGCGGATGCGAGAAGTGGAACAACAACCACCTTTAAATCAGACCTTTTTTTTCCATCGGAGTTTTAGTGAATGCATCGAAGAGGTCTCAAACCATCAAAAAATGGACATGACCATGAACGACAGTCGAGTTTTAACAGTGAAGTGAGCCGACTTGAAAGAGCCTGGTACTTTGTGTGTGCAAGATTACGAAGTCACAACGTGAGGTGTCAACAGAAGTGAAGTAATCAAATCCAAAAATCGATTGAAAACAGCTCACGGTGGTGAATCGATCTCCTGCACCCTCACCGCATCGCTAACCTCACACTCCAGGTCTTCTGTACTTCTTTCAATCATTCAATTCGCTCAAAACACGTTTAATGGTATCTTTCACGTTCTTGACATAATTGGCGAATATTTCAGCTTCATGGTTTAAGGGGGATCAGATTTCACCAGAGCTTAAAGCAAATTTATCCGCAAATTCAATTGCGCTATTTGTTTGGCAACACACGTGTTGAAAAAAGCGTTGATGCTGCAAGCGGCGTGTCTGCATGGCACACGGTGTGTTTCAAATCTCATTGATAAAATGGGGAAAAAAACGAATGCCTAGCTGCCTCCCCCCCCAAAACCTAGAACGCTCGACCTGAAAAATAAAGAGTTCCCTGTTAGAGGAAGGAAAAGCGCGTAAAAGTGTTCGGACAAATAGAAAATTGCATAAAATATCAAGTACTCTGGTTGTTTCGACAGTTCTCTAAGTTAATTAGCGATTTACATACCCTCGCATTCCTTATACTTGCTGTAGTTCAGTTGAAACGGATGTATGTCGAATGAATTAGAAAGCCATGTGGAGAGTTTGGAAAATTTTGAATGCATCTCGTATTACAGTGATATTTGGGTTCTTTTCGGAAATTATCAAATGAGTGACTCTATACATTCTCAAAGAATAGCTTGTCTGGCGACACTGAAGGTTACTTACCAATAACGTACTTGGATTCAACAAACAGGTTTTTAAGGCACTGGAATGCCATAGCAGGTGGATTTCGTTTGGTCAGATTAACCTCCCTAGGGCCGGAAACTATGTAAAAGAGCCTTCACCAAGAATAGCTAACATCAGAATGAAGTGCTCCATATGCTGGTTTAATGACGTGGGCAAGGTACCAGTAGGTTTTGTTTAAATCGAGGCACCCTGCTTCCCACGTTGGACTTTGTGTTGGCTATGACGCCACCGTCAGCCGTGCATTCCTGCTTCCACAAATGCCAGTTCCTTATTGTCAAACAGAAGTGCTTCGATGGTGTCGTTAATTGATTGTAGGTTAGGCAAACATTAGCTAGTTTTAAAACCGTGTGAGGAGCGACGTCTAATCTATGCCCGTACCGAAACGCATTGATTCGCCAATGGGTTCAAACTTCTAGGTAGTTCAATTCCCGAATTTGTTTGGATTATTTAGAAAAGAGTTACAATTTGATCATTCATTTGTTATTTTAATGTAATTATGGGCTGCTAATTTACTTATCAAATTGATAAGTTAGTCTTTAAGAAAATGTTTTCAATTTGGTGACAGTTCCTGTCCGTAGCTCAGTTAAATGTGGTCTACAAACCTTCGCTAAGTAGTTTAGTCACTTTTTACTAATTTGATTGTAGCCACAGGGAATCCTTCATTATCCAAGACCGTCAGTTTCGTATCCTCTGGCAAGCATTTGCATCAAATCGTCTAATCCACTATTTTTGTTCTAACCACTGTCCCAACATGGTGGAATTGTGATTAGTTGTGCCTCTGAGTATACAACTGCGGTTACCATGGCACCAGGAATGACTCTTAAAAGAACAGTTTCACCCACAGCTGATCCGATCACTTTAAAAAGATAGCGGGAGATAAAAATAAAAACACCACATCGTTACAAAAACCTGAACCCATCGATCAAACAGATAAACCACAATCGACGACTTGAAAACTGCAAAGCAGCTTACATCGGTATGATACATAGCAAATTAAAAATAGCGCGGAGCAGGAGAATTAGATTAGTAAAACAACAGGAGGAGACCACAAAGCATGATAAAATTTAAACAAGAATTTCACCTTAAAATGTTTTTCCAGCTAAACATTTGAGACAAACGACTGCTCAGTGATGTCTCAGAAATTGCCATTGGAAGAATCCAAGGACTTGGCAACATTCCTATGTAAGAGATCCGGAAAGGACACTGATTTTGAACGTAAACACGCCACGTATTACGTACATTGGGGTTTATGGTTAAACTTGATGGGTAACATTGTTTCTTCAGGGTGGATGCACTCAAATGCAGATTTCTCTTGAATTACCTTCGTAAATTCTGCTTCAAAGATTCGCTTAGTATTCAAGAAATCAATGTATTCTGCACTAGGTCTTCGAAGATGTCCAAATTTATGTCTTTAATGGTTTTATCGATAAGGACTATCAGCAAATGGAAGCGGTGTGTTAAAATTGTCCGTATCACCGTGCATCTACTAACACACGGCTTTGGACAGTTTTTCCACTTCAAAAGTGTGTGATGAGTTTGGGTCAAGGGTTGGGTCAGTTTCCTATTGGTCAATCGACTCAAATAAAGGTAATCGATTTGTATGCCATGTGTAAAGAGTTTCCTACCGTTCAAACCTGCTCTGTTTTTGACTAAAATAGGCGAATCAAAGACTATTGTCAAGAATGTCAAATTGGTTTATTTTGGCAAAGCCCGAGAAAACTGACATTCTTTTTACCTTTTAGTGGTCAAAATGCAGATGGCTTTGATGGGTATGCTTCTGCTGGCAACCATCTGCTCAATATCAGCTGAAAGCATCCAACTAAATGTAGGTGAGTGTAGCGTTTTCCCGGCTTGATGCATGTTCTCAAGCCTGTCACGTCGTCTGATTGGTGCAGGCACTAAAATATCAGTAAACACAACTCCGACATTCCCTGCTTTCAAATTCATTACACGTAAAAATTTTGCTGCAAAGTGCAGATTGTGACTTGGAGTGTTTACCGTGATCCGGGATTAGTTCGTCTCTCCTCTCCTTAGAGCGAATTATTACTATGCACATAGGTTTATTTGGCCGTTAAATTAAAAATCGTGACTGCTACTGAGGCAGCTGTTAAAAGCCGATGATTGTAGCAGTGTAGGCATCTCATAGAATACGCGTCGTTGTTAAGGTAACAATCTGTGGCGGATTAATAGCGATCGCGCCAAAGTGAACCCTCTTTACTGATATGACAGCGGCAATGACTCATCCCCTTCGCATTGGTTATTGTTATCAGACGTTCACTCATCCGCACACTTGGCTGGCGCGGTAAATTCTCCAGTTAATCGATTTTCAATAATGGTATCCCATGCCGGAGCAGAGCCAGTGGCTTAGAAATGACCACTTTTAGTGCTTTCAAGGTATAATTCTGGAAGGAACCCACGCTGGCCAGGAGACGGCTCTTCGAAAAGGCGTCCAGAGGGCCAATCAAAATTTGGCGGAACTGCGTCTCCACGCGCCCCTGAAGATCACCCTCCATCCGATTCTGAAGCGCATCGAGGAGGGCAGTGCCTTTGCTGCCTCTGAAGCAGGTTTGGCTAAAATTTGTGTTCCAGATTTTGTCAAATCAACCTCTAACTAATTGTGGGGAATAAATCAGGCACAACTTTTTTCCAAAAAAAGAAAGTGCTTTCTAAAAAAATCTGGAAAAAGTACAAGCGAGGGTAACAGATTTAAGTGAAATGTCGCTTTTTTGAAACTTGGGATTTCCACTTGCCTCGAATGCTGTTTTGTGGCCACAAAGTACTGATAACGATTCACAGGACCTCGAATAAACCATGTAGATGTTTCAGAGGCACGACTAGTTAGTTGATAGACCGACTTTGGTGTGTTGTCGTCTGCGCGTATAAGCCAATGGCGTTTGTGTGATTAGGCTCAACTGATTGCGTGTTCAGACGGATTAGCAGAACCAATACCACGCAGAGATGGTAATACCGAACACTCAATTCGCTGCATATTTTGTTTTGTACACATTTTTTAGCAAATTTATGTAATTTAGAAAAGTAGAGGACAATGAACTTACTTTTGGAAATGTTGTCCACCGCTTTTCCATGACCTTGCGCCATTTCTCGGGTAATGTTCTGATGCCGTCGCGAAAGAAACTTGTAGGCTTCGAGGCCCTAAACTCATCGACGAATTTATGCACATCGTCTGACAAGTTTCCGGAAGTTTGCAAATTACACCCTTCATGTCTTACCAAATACACAGTAGAACCATCTCCAAATGGATGCCTTGTTTCGGCGTCGTTGTACTGGATTGCTTAGGGTTCACCTTTGTCTTTTATGCTTGGACCTCTAGAGTAAAAAAAGGCTTTTCATTACCCAGTACAAAGGGTCCGTAGTTTGTTGCCAGCGGGCGAACAGTGAAAGGCATGTGTTTGTTTGTTGAAGTAGGTTGTGTTCGATCAATGCATGTGAGCAACCCACCAACTTCCAAGTTTTTGACTTTATCGACTGGGTGCAAACGCTGGGAAATAGGTGTTTAGCCGACTCCTCACTGAGCTGCTGCACGCTCCTTTTGCGTCTGCGTTGAGTTTTAATGCAGTAGAGCACGCATTTCCGCATCTTCAAACTTTTGAGGCTGCTGTCTGTGGCGAGGCTGACCACTAAAATCAATATCACCACTACTAACGAAACGTTTATACCTACAATTACACGTTTCATAAGACACAACGTCGGCAGCACCAAAAAACACTACAAACTGAATTGCCCTGGACTTGAAAAGTACTTTTTCCTTGTTTAAATTCGTACAGAACGCAGCGCCATCGAATGTGCTGCTTATCAGTTACCATCTTAAAACTCTGCTTTTCTCAGGGGTTGCGTAAATCACGTAGACTTGTCGTTTCATGTTCTGAAACCTTTTTCTATATCTCAAAGATAATTTTACATTCAGAGAAAAAAACCCGTACAAATTAGGTCATACGCCTAATAGACAGCAAGTGGTAGCAAATCGACACGAATTAGCACGCACACACAAAAATTAGGAAGCGACCAACACAGGCGCAGTGTCTAAGCCAGTTTATTGTGAAATTCCAGCCTGCGAGTTGGTCGCCGAAAACGTCGTTGCCATCTTCGGTCCGGACAGCAAAGCCGCCTCGGGGCCCGCCCAGTGGATCAGCCAGCAGTACTCCATCCCCTATTTCCTGGCCCAGGGGGATCTAGACACCGATGAGACCCTCTTCAACTTCACCGTCAACCTCCATCCGCACTTCGAGGATGTTGGCGAGGCGCTGGTAGATTTTATTCAGGGAACCCAGGGCTGGGAAGAACTGGGCCTAATTTACGCCCACGATGACAGTAAGTACTACAAGTGGCTTCGTTTTGAAGTTGCTGGAGATTAAAGTGCAGACTACGCTTTTGATATTATGAGAATTCATTAAGGTTCATTTTGAAACTTTCACAGTGTTGTCCTTGTGAAAAAACCCTGCACAAGTCTCTAACGCACTTTGGAAAAGTTGTAAAGCCAGCTTGAACAATACTGCGAACCGTGATTTCAATCTAGCACAATCAAGAATCGCCCTCTAACAGAATTTTTCCGTTAGCATCGATGCTAATTTCGTCTCTGGAAATTGGAGGTGGTGCTAGACCTGCGTTTCAACACGCGACTTGGAAGTGGTAGAACACGACGTTGGAGTCGTGGTTGTAAACATGTAGACGTGAATAACGCAGAAGAATAGAGATCAACGGTTTGGTGACTGTGTCAACAATGATTCGGCAGATCTCACGGAAATTAAAAGGGTTTTCAGTTCTGAGGTAGCAATTGGCGTAGTAACGACCACTGAAACTGCCTCGAATCCCTTCTTCATGAACATAGTCTTTCGACACACTCAAACCACAACTAGCCAATGAAACCCATTCCCGACAGGCTTTTAAAGTTTTAGAGAATGTATTTAAAACGGGACTCTGTCCAGATGTTATTAAAACCACCATTTTGGGTAGTTGAAAATAATGACATCATAAAGAGGAAGTGCTGATGGCACAACTCGGCCAGTGTTTTGAGCCTTGGTTCCAAGCTAGCACCAGCAGGAATCACTTTGCATCAGAAAATGCAAGGTTGTACGAGATCTGCGTTTCAACACCCAACTTGGAAGTGTCGGAATACGACGGTGGAGTCGTGTTTGCAAACGTTCAGACGTAAATTAAGCAAAGGCGTGGTGACCAACAGCTTGTTGCCTATGTCGACGATGATGAGTTAGCAGGTTGCACAGAAGTGACAAAGGTTTGCAGTGCTGAGGTGGCAAGTAGTGTAGTTCCGAAAAAGACGAAGTGCATTCGCACGAAGGTTTTTTAACTGCTCGAACTCCTTCACAAACTCTCACACCGTAATTAGCCAATGAAATCCTCAGAACTGCAAATTATCTCAACAACTCAGGGTAGGTCTGATGACTGCCAATTACAAATAACCGATTTCATTTCCTATTAGTTTATGACTGTGGATGTTCACTTAAGATAACAAGCAGTTACAGAACTCAGTGTCTGCTCTAGATTGCAAATATCATCAAGTAGAAGGCTGTCAATTAGAGAACAGACTCTGCACTAACTTCCTTGTTTCTAATTATGCAAAACTTTGGGTGAAAACAAATGGAGCTTACAGCGAACGTATTGGGTAAGAAAGCCAAAATAATGCTCCTTTTCCTCCCATGTAAACCCTCACCTCACTTATGCCTTCGTGTTTGCTAAAGCTGAACACCCATTAAGGGTGACTCACTCCGCATTCCCTCTCCTTCATTCACCACTCATGTTACGACGAAGAGGCAAGAAGAGGTGGTTTGAAGACCGTTTTGATTTAGGCTCTCTGATTGTGGCCCTTAATCTCTTCATGCAAACTGACATCGGCAAATGCTCTGAACCACCAAGACACATTCAGCCAACTGCAACACAGTCTGGGAGCGAATCTCATTGCCACGAGCTTGTGTCCCACTCCTCATCAGAAAACAAGATGGTAGCAAGTACCTTTCTGCATAAGACATCCAATCGTGAACCAGAGGCTGTTGAGCATGTTGAAATTGTTCTCCAGAATCGGTGAGTCGATGTTGCAGGGGTGTGGGTTGTGCCATTCGTAGGGACTGAACCGGGCTACGACAAACAACGTCACGCTCGATACCACGTACGCGATCAACACGTAGCCCCAAACCTACAACGCAAACACACATTGCAGTGGTTCGTGTCGGTTTGGTAGGCTGCATCACCATGAATTCCTGCTTCATGAATACCACCTACGCGTCGTGTGGTAATTGCCCTACCCAATTTTATTTCTTGACACCGTAACTCAATGCCTCAGTTCTTCTGGCATGTCCGTAAATGCCATTCGTGCGCTATTTTTGGATGCAATATAACCCCACAAAAACAAGCTGCATATCCTTCTACAATACTTGGGTAAACAGGGGATGTCTTCCTTATCGAATCCTCCTTAATCCTTCCTTAAGCGCACGGCGAAATGTCTTGGTCGATTTGATAATTCATCATTTCAAGGCGGCAACAGCGGGCACACTATCCTTTAACCTTGCATAATTTGAGCAATAAAGTGTTTATGCAAATTCATTTTTTGGCTTAAATTCAACTCAGTGAATAATGCGGCCGCGCCGTGTCCATCATGGCCATAACTGTCTCGAAACGAGTACGATTTTGTCGGTCTGCCCAGAACAATGGGAATTTTGGGCTAAAAGGGGAACAATTTGACCCAATAAAAGTTTCGTTTCAGCTGACAAGAGATGCAATTCTTCACCTTCTGTAAACATGCATTTTTACGCAGCATTTCGTTTGAATACGAACCCTTTATCGGTTGCTCTAGAAGCGCCTATAGAAACCGCGAAAATTGTATAATGTAAACAAGCGCTGAACAATGTGTTTTTTCTTTGTAGATCTAATCAAGTACAAAAGCCTATTCTCTAAATTCAGCAGAAAACTGACCGTTCGAAAGTGGGATGGCGCCGACCAAAGGCACAAATACATCATCAAGTACTTCAGGAGGACGCGGTCACAAAACAAGTTCGTGGTCGACATTCCGCGGACGGAGACCGAGGGATTCCTTCGACTGGTGAGGCACGAAAGCCTTCCAGATGCAGATGCTTGATTCGCAACTGTTGAATGCCTTTGTCATCATCTCTCTTCCTATTCCATTCCAGATTGCCGAGTACAACATGACAGACCAATACTACAGCTACGTATTCACGGATTGGGTAAGGCTGTTGCCTCGTGCGTTGGCAGGAAGTTGTCATTGGTTTTGCCTGGCACACGAGCTTGTACTTGGTTGACAAAGACATGATAATCACTTCACACTGGGTAAAATGTACTGGTGCAGCTGAAATGTGATATCCATTCGCAGAATATTCCTCAAAACGCCGTTAGGAGAGTTCTGTGCTAAAGTCGTGCGCAATGAGGAAATGGCTCCACCTCATATTCTCCGATGTTTTGTCGCAAATGGGACGTGTCGGTGACTTTCACGAACAAAAAACCTGCAGACAGAATTTGCCTGTATGTAGGTGCAGAAGAAATCAGTCAGAACTTGGAATGAATTCCTCCATTATTGTAATTTGATGTTTAGTGGACTTGAAAAATCTAATTTATCTTCTGAGCAGCAAAGTGTCACTGGAAGACATGCCATAGCTCATAGATGCTGTGTTTGACTGGTTCAACCAATGCCGTGACGTTTGCTTCAAAGTGGAATCAAGGCTGAATGTGACTTTGGGAAGCCAATTACAAATCAACCAAGTCAGAATTGTAGGGCATTGGGGGCTGTTGTTTAGGTGGAAATTCAGATTCTGATGCAAACGACGGCGACCTACCAAAGAATTATCTGAACTGTTGCTGTCCGCGGATCGATGGATTATGTCAGGGTAATGGTATCAGTTACCTCTACGCACTCTAGTGAGACGCGTTGAATATGAAGTCGAAGTAGGTGTAACAGTTCATTCCGACAAAAAGCCAGTCTACTAGTGACTCAATCAGGCTGACCACAACCAATAAATCACCGTTGAATTCTAAGGATATTATGTAGGTCTGAGTTCAAATGCCTGAGCTCCTGAAAAATCAAAGATTCGATTCGACAACAAGACTATGATTCTGAAGGCGTTGCGAAGTTCAACAGCATTTACCTCATAGGCACATTTGTAATGTCAGCTAGTGGGGCGTTTTGTAAGGAGATGGATCAACAAAAACTCACATTGAGGCAATCACGCTTTAGCAAAACACCGAAGGTTTGAATCACACTAAAAAGTTTTAAGTCACATCTAGTTGCATAATATTTGGTGCACTTATGCGTTTTTACGACGACGTTGATGTCATAGACACACAAAATTGCATCTTAAGACCATAATGGTAATTGCTTTCATTAGAGTAAGGCTTAGTTAGCAGTAAACGTCACATTATCGTCGGGGTTTTACTCACAAAAGTGCAACGCTTTAATTCTCTTAACTGGTCCCCGCATAAATACGTTTGGCCTAGCAATGATTTACGTGTTCAGTTTAACATGACGAAGGCGATTACTTGAAAACAAAGCACAGCCTGGGAGCACAAATAATTAGTCATGGATTTTGCTAAAGTCAAAACATCAGGTGATAATACATATCAAGCAACAAATGAGTGGTGTGGCAAGAAACCTTGTTAGTTAACTTAAAATGGCGCTCAACGAACGAAGTAGGACAGTGAAACAAGGTAAGTCAGGTAGATGCAAATTTTCTAGTCGCAAAAGAACACTTTTTACTTAAATTGGGGGCCTGGCGATACTCCGGTCGCACTCGGGCAGAAACGCTGGAGGAATGCGTGTGGACAGGGTCTGGGTAACGAGCACAAAGTCTTCTTGCACGCCTAGGACACCCAATTTCTCGATCCGAAGGCCTTTGTTGTGGACAAAGGCGCCAACTTCTCGGCCTTATCCTTGCTGCCCCTGATGGGTTTCAACTACCAGATGACCGAGGACACTCACAGACCCTTTTCGCAATCGCCTGCCTTCCTGCCTAGTCGTGGAGCATCGTCTTCCACTGCCAGAAGCAGCCTTGTACGTGTGTGTGTGTGTCTTTCATGTGATAAACCGTCCACATTCGGCCAAATCCAAGGTTAAATCCCATCCAGACTGTTGTATCCTTGCAAAAAATCGATTTTAGCATTCCCCAAGCGCCACTAAACTCGCTAAGTAGCCTGTCCGGCAGTGATATTTGCTCCTAATTCTTTCATGATGGTGACACGAGTCTGTTGTAATAACGATTCCGTTCATTTTTTAATGTTCTCCTCTCAGACCTACTACTTTCTGATCTCTGACACCCTGAACCTCCTGTCGATTGGGATTTCTCGGCTGGCCGAAAGTCGCACAATTGAACCACCCAGTGGACTGTCTTGTAAGGCGGCTGGGAATTGGTCGCTCGGACCGCACCTCCTTTCAGCTATCAAATCGGTGGGTAAAATCCCTGGTAATGCTTTGTCCATCGTTACGCAATTTCCGCCTGATCAGGAGTAGGTAATTTCGGCTTTCAAGAATAAACCTTTCGCCTTCTAGCATCTGATAATTGTTGCTTTAAGCTATTTTTAAAATAAGGTCTTGTGCAGCTGTAATCTGTTTTTAATGCAAAACGCAAAAATATCAGTAGCAACTGATGTTACTTGCTTATTTCCGGAAGAAACGTTTTGTCGATGAAAATTTGACCCACTGCCGTTATGGTTGACACAATGATAATGATGATGACCATATAAAAGCCCGAATTTAATCCGATCGTTGGTCAAGTTTCGTTGCAACAGGTTTCAGACAAGGTCAAATTACATTAAGCATTGTTGCGGGTGTCACCATTCCCCAAGACAAGTAAGCCAACACAGTAATTGTGGTGACGTAGATTCACTCAGCTCTGTCCACTTGACTACACCTCTGCTAGTCTCACCAACAACTCATCACGCCGTGTTGTTTGCTTAACTCGTCGATCTCAGATCGCCCAGCGACATATAAGTGGGCATATCTGAGCCTTCACGCGATCTTCTACTTTGACTTCCGTTTTGTCCCCGCCTTGTACTCAACCCTTTGGATCATATGGTAAAGCCTTGCACACAGGCTAGAGTCTTCTTTTATTATGAGAAGCCTTCGACGTGTCAAACAAAGGGTCACAGCTATTAGCTCGGAGATTTGCATCAACATACCGGGGTAAAAACGTGTCAACGACTTCATGTCACCGAAGATGGCATAAAAGCTCTACAGGCGCGGATTTCACTGAAAGTAAATGAAAAATGATTCCTTTTCAATAGCATCAATGGAAAACTATCCATCACAAAGCACACCGAAGGTCAATAAAACTTGAGATGGATCATTTGATAGTCAAATTTTCATCGAGACGGTGCATGGTCTCACCCGTTTCTGGTAGCTTGTGAAAATTTACATGGTCATAGTTGGCATGCGACGACAAACATCTCCCATTTAAGCAGTCGAATTCGATTTGGCATCAGAAGTTTGATAGATGCATAACCATATTTCATATGCTGAAAAACCGCAAATATTAAAGCTCATTCTTCATACGGAAATAAGTGTGAATTCACCCCACAAAATTATAATTCGTTTCCTACCAGCTAATTAAATATTACTCGTAGGAATTTCGAGGCTGGTTATAACAAAAACAAAAAAAGCACTTCGCGATAAGTTTAGCATTTGTAGTGTGTTAATGTGTTATTCTAACACCGCGCACATAAATTAAGAAGACCAACACAAGAGGCGCGACGTGGGTTGCGGGCGCCGCTCGCTGGGAGAAAAAAATCAAAATGTCGCTCGCCAAGCGGATCATTTCAGTAAAACAAGGGGTAAATGTGGTAGATCTTACTGTTGCTTTGCGATCTGAGAGGCTCTGATTCACACGAATTCGCAAGTGGGAAATGTGGTAGTCTGTGACTAGCTGCTACTGCTGTAGCAACCGAAGTCGTGACGAATTCAAAGTCTATTCAAATGCAAGATTTTGTGCATAAGTAAGTCATATTATTACTCAAATCTTATCAAATAAAGCTTAACACCAATGTATTTTGCAGGTCAAAGGCAACGACGCCGAGGGTTCAACGGGACTGGTCGAATTTGGATCAGAGGGGCGTCGAAAGAATGTCAACATTACAATCCTGGAGATGGGCAAGGACGGTTTCCTAGAAGTGAGTGCGTCTTCTTCTCTCTTTGTGTGTGTTTGGGGTTTGCTGTAGTTCTTGGCTTGTCTACCCATGGATAGGATCACTTCAAAACCAAACTCAAATACCACTAGCGGTTCCCAAATTACGAGAGGCTGACTTCTCTTGGAATTGATTAGTCCTATGTCATATCGACTCGAGTCAAGTCAAGCCATCGGGCGTCCTGACGTTAGATGATAACGCATGTCATTCTTTAATAAGAAACCGATGTGGTTTTACGGGATGGGTTTGCTAAAGCTCATGAATTTCAAGTCTAGAACTCGCGCCATGCCATTCACTTGCTGACAAATGGCTTCGTTAAGCAGAAACCCAAAAATGACCCTAGGGTGATGCAGAAACAGTTGTGTTGTGGCTGCTTCCATCCAAGATCGTGTAAGCCCCTAGGTCACAGATTTGTAGGCTTAAGTGTGTCCGTATAACCAATGGAACACTTCCAAAAGGTGCTGAACTCCCTAGATGTCTAAGTTTTTTGATGCAGCTGGTAGATTTCACTAAAACCAAACTGTTTTCGGTCCGTCAACACGTGAGAAAACACCCAACGACTGCTGATAACAATGGCTAACCATTTAAACGTGTAATCAGTCATTCCTTTGCAGAGGGTAGAAATTTTGTTTTAGTGCTAAAAACGTCAGCCACACGCCTTGACGGTCCCACCAAACGACTAATAAAGACAAATCTGAGATATCTGTGACCGCAATTTAGTCTAGTAAAACGACAAGTCAAGTTTCTGTCATTCACGGCACACACAAAGAGAGATTTGTGAAAACCTTTATGCACGAAACTATGCGGAAAGAAGGCGTTCGTGCAGATACCTCCTTCCACAATTATCTCTTCCTTGTTGGAACTCGAATAAAATGCAGTGCCATCTAATGTGCTGTTGGCCAGTTGCCATCGTCGTAAACTCTGCTGTTCAAAGAGGCACTGTGTCTCACGTAGACTTTTTGTTCGGTCTTGTCGAAGTCTTGCCTCAGATCCTTTCAAAATCGCCAAAGACCGCGAAATTATTTGTATTATAAATCCAACTTTTGGCTCGAAGAACAAAGCCGTACTGATTACGTCAAATTGGCGATCGTCATGACCACAAAGTTGGTCGAACGAAATGCGTGATTTTTTGAGCCCATTGTCAGCATCTGTTCTTTGCTGTAGTATGGATACTGGAACAGGAAGGATAAATTGGTGGTGACGAAGGACTTTTCCAAAACTAAGTCTGAAATTCAAAAGGAACTCAAAGGCCAAACACTGCGAGTGGCTACCATTGAGGTAAGTTGGCGAAGTCACTTGGCTTCGTGAGCGGCCGTTTCTACGCCACATTACAGTCATTTTGCACGGTTGTTTTGACCCGCGTTTCATATGAGAATGCCATGTCTGGAGTTTGATTTAAAACAACATTTGATCAATTAATATCGCTTTCATTCTCATTCCACAAATTCAAGCTTTGGACTTAATTATTAGTGGATGAAATCAAAAACGCTAATGTCAAAATAATCGTATATTTTTCCCCCGACTAATGCGTTTTTTGCAAGGTAGCCGCATTCGGACAGTGCAAGTTGGTGGCGTAGATGCGCTAGTTGGTTGTGGCAGCCCCTTCGCACGCAAATTATCGTCCTGCGTGACTCACGGTGTTACTGGCTTAGCCCTGCTTATACGTCTCACAAGAGCATATTTTAGGGAATTTTGTGTTCAAAATACCAATGTTGTACGCACTTTTAAGACTGGGTTTTACAAAATAAAAAAAGCAGTTTAAAAAGCACCCAAAGTGGTGAAAAATTTGGTAAAATAACACACAGGTCAGTGGGACTTAATTAAAGCCCTTGCTCTCTGGTTCGAAGGAGATACCCTTTATGATGTACAAGGGCCCGTCTGGTCACGTGAAGTCGAGTGACCCCAAGGACTGGCACGGGTTCTGCATTGACCTCCTCAACGAATGCGCCTCCGCGCTGGAGTTCAACTACACCGTCCATCCAGTGGCTGACGGCAACTACGGCACCGCGACGAAAGTCAACGGCGAAGTTGTTTGGGACGGTATCATCGGGCAATTGCAGTTTCGGGTGAGTATATAGCTTTACTTGACAACTAATAGGACTTCAAAACGCAAAATTGGGTAACAAAAGCCTTCACGTTATGTGGCTTTCATGACGAGTGCCGTCGTTGACGTAGTTTGATCTGGTTGAGAGTCGACAGACTAGGCCAATGAAAATCGATAGATGAGGCCGAGTTGTGAAAGAGGGGCCAGCTTTATATAAAAAGGGGAAAGATTGTCGCAGAACGATAGGTAGTCGAAGGACATCGTCCAGAGGTCAGCAGCGTCCAGAGATTGGGCGTCGTTTGAAAGGGATTGTGGCTGGAAATGGATTCTTGTTGAGCGACGAGACGGAATCACACTAATAGGTCGCCAAACGCCAGTACAAAGAAGGTGAATGTTTCAACGCCGGTGTAACCAATTGTTGTGGAATTTGAAACCTCTTATCTCTTCGGGTCACCGACTGCTGCGGGCCCCAGCATGTGATATTGAACATCTCAATGTGGACAGAGTAAAACATCTCAATCAGGCGAAGCATTGTTATCATGGAGTATGCTGAATCACCCGGCAGCATCGACCTAGGTGTACGAGCAGGTTGAAGGTAATGAGAGTCGACGCGGCTGTTCATTTCGAAGGAGAGTGCCGATTGACTGATGGCATAACTGGTCTACCTTAAACAAGATCCAGTTGTGGCGTTGAAGAGAGCCAGGAAAACGCCCTGATCGATTCTGTGGAGTCAAGTCCTGGAAAAGACCTCAACTCCTACTCATTGGTGGATGCAGGTTGGACTCATGAGCGTCTCAACTACTAGTTCCTCGAGCCAATCACTGACACACTGACATCGCGTTCGGTAGTTTACTCCTAATCCAACTTGTCCAACTATTTGAAATTATGCAAAAACTGAATCCCATGCAAGACAGCGCCAAACGACAATTTGTCACCCAAGTGCGCAACTTTCTGAAAATGATACCACCACTGCAGATAATTTAAATGCAAAAAATCATCGTTTTTTTGTTAAACATGACACGAATATTGTTGTGGGCCCCAGCATGTGGTCTTGAACCACGCCGAGGCCACGGAATCAGCTCTGGCCCGATTAAGTTTTCCCTGATAACCGCGATGAAGAAAAAGATCAGAGAGGACGTCGACACAGTCGGTTGCTTCAGAGCTCAACCACGTTGGTGTCACTGTGTCGTGTGGGACGTTTGCGCGTGTGTATTTATGCCTCGAATCTAATCGAATCTAATCTAATATAATCGTTTACGCTAATGAGAAGGAGTTGAGGGTCTGCGAGGCTAGTGACATGCTACGTAAGAGGGGATCCTGTGTCGGAAGCTGAGGTGGTTGGATTAACGGGTGTGAATCAGTGCGATTCACAAAATCATAATTTGGGCCAAAGAAGTCCACTTTTTTGGGAAAATGTGTCAAAAATTGGCTGAAAACTAGGCAAACTTGTGAGTTTGACGTCTCCGTTTGATGATGTGGCTTATTTAATGTACCCTTTATTTTAAGAAAGCCGACCTCGCCGTGGCAATGCTCACTATCAACCTCGAACGGGAACGCGTCATCGATTTTACGACGCCCTTCATGAATCTGGGCGTGAGCATCATCTTCAAAAAGCCTGAACAAAACGAACCCGACCTATTCTCGTTCCTCCGGCCGCTCTCGCCTGCGGTAAATTGACTGCTTCCTAAAATTTCATTGGGTAATTTAATCTGACACAAAATAGATGACCTTGGGATGAGCAGATGATTCTGTTTAATCGAGAAAGTGAAAGTGAATCACTAATACAAAATCTGGTCAGTGTAGCTTAACAAGTTTGCTTCCACTAACACGAAGTTGGTTGGTCAAGCAGCAATTGCGCCTTCGCAAATAATTAGCCTCCCTGATTTCTCTCTCTCTCTCTCAAGATCATTTTGCTTTTGGCATTCCCCACTTTTTAAAAAAAATCCCACTTAATGATTAAAAATGGATTACTATATTAATACATCTAAGAAGAAGGATTGTGGCACAAATGTAGGAACATCAAAGCCTGTCCAGGTGGATCAAAAAGTTACCGTTTTGTGCTCATAAAGACACTTTTAGGCATCCAGGCCATTTAATCTAATGCAAAGGAATCACGTTCGACGAAGACAGAGGCAGACGCAACGAAGGAATTCTGATTACCGCATTTCCGAGAGTAAACAATTGTCTCAACTATTGGACCTTTTTGTTGCCCCAACCGTGTACTATCAGTCACCATTTGGAATTTGCAACAATCTTTAACTAGTAATACTCTCCGCCTTGACATGAGTAAATTACAATCAAAGAGGCATCTTTGGGTTTCTTAAACGATGATGTAAGGTCCGCAGAAATCAATAGAGGTGATGAGTTTGGTTTCCTACATAAGTTACTAATGTAGAGAGCAAGGCTGAGTAACTAATCCTTTAGCCTAGTCATCCCATTTTCCGCCACACTGACCTCCTTTCCACAGCGTCTCTATTGATCTTGCTAAACCGTCTGCTTAGTCACCTCCGTATGTACGTCCACCACGCTACCCCTTCAGCCATTTCTACTTTTACAGGTTCACTGAGGCTGCATTGATCGACAAACCCATTTAGCTAGACACGGCACTTGCATGCGTAGTGGCGCGGCAGTTACAACCAGGTTGAGCTCTGTGGGAAACGGTAGTGCCTCTGCCATCTCTTGTCTTCTTCTTGTCCCCTCGGGTACCTGAGTTCTTTAAACAAGCCAGCTCAATTCGGCGTCCCCAACATGGTACAAGACCACATGCCGGGACACACAACATATCAAATAAACACTCTGTACGAGCTCTGTTTTAGGTTACAGCAGGAACATGTTTGACCAGAAACCTGACATAAAGTTGGGAACGAGATTAATGTGAAGATTATGTAAATATGACACCCGTTACGTGGCTACCCAGATAACTAACTACCCCAAAATGTGTGCACCATTAGAAAGCCTGCAGCCTTTGCAAAGTCACTGGTATCCACAGGCTTTTTGTTTTATCTGCTCCTTTGAGTTTATTTGAAGGTACTTTAACCTTGGCGCACCCTACCCAACTGC